TTCAGCCTCGGTAAGTGTCCATGTGTTGTAAATGTCTCTCCCTTTTTCACCGATCCAGAGGAGCAGGTAGCTGCACTTTTCCTCTTCTCCTCTTTCCTTCAGAGGACCCGTGAACATCAGCTCCACATGCTGTTTGAACTTACGCCATGCATCGGGTAGATTTGTAGACCCCCAATCCATTCGAGGTGAAGGAACTCCAGCAAAATCCATCTTTTAGTCCTTTTACTCTGACACCATGTCTTGTTTTGTACGCTTTGTACAAAATAATAAAATGCAGGACGACAGGATATTTATAAACGTAGCTCTTTATTAACTAGCTATAACGTGCATGTCCATGTGTCTCTGGCCATGATCATCTTAGAATGACCTCACCACCTGGGTGGTCTTAACCAATCATTGCACAGTATGATGCATCCAATTACAATTCAGTATGGTGACACATATGAATATTACAAGGTCCACAATTTTATCCCTGATGTCCTTACACATCTCTCTGGTCTTGGCCATTGTGGAGAGGTTGGAGTCTGTTTGATTGAGTGTGTGGACAGGTGTCTTTTATACAGGTAACGAGTTCAAACAGGTGCAGTTAATACAGGTAATGAGTGGAGAACAGGAGGGCTTCTTAAAGAAAAACTAACAGGTCTGTGAGAGCCGGAATTCTTACTGGTTGGTAGGTGATCAAATACTTATGTGATGCAATAAAATGCAAATTAATTACTTAAAAATCATACAATGTGATTTTCTGGATTTTTGTTTTAGATTCCGTCTCTCACAGTTGAAAAATTATAGACCTCTACATGCTTTGTAAGTAGGAAAACCTGCAAAATCGGCAGTGTATCAAATACTTGTTCTCCCCACTGTATATTTAGCAATGAATCCGCTGATAGGAACATAGCTGAAAGAGGTCCAATGGATCTATCGAACAAGGACAACCATATCTACATGCACAAAAACATATAATGTGATCAGTATAACATAGAGCCTTCGCTAAATGCCACAAAGCAGGACTACATTTATTTTCTGATCTCGGCCCCCCTTCCCATCAGTACACAAGAAGCCATCATACGGTGTATCATTCAGCATGCAAAGGCCAGACCTGCCTTCCTCCTGGGCAATTATGTGTGAAACAGGTCACTGACCTAGAAATGCCTCGGACATGATGAAAACAAGCCCAGATTCCCCCAGGGTGAAATTCTCCTTTAATTGGGGAGGATGGGCTCATGGTAATGGCTGGAGCGGAATATATATATTGTTTTTTTTGCGAGAGAAAATAACATATGGGGGATTGGAAGTGATGCAGACAATAACATTGATGGAAGTTACAATCTATCTGCAATATTAAAGGTGATCTACACTTATCACCATTAAATCGAGTTAAGGAGGAAATCCACATATTACCAGCCTGAATGGAGAATGTTTTATGTACGAATCGGTCCACAGGGGATACGTGTGTTTAGCTGGCTGCATGCATTCCCTTTGGACGGTAAGATGAAAACTCAATATCGTCATCTGCTGGCCTTTGGGCAAAATAACATACTAATGGTAATATTTACATGTAAACTGGAGTAATAGTGACCAGTAGCAGGATAAATAGATACATCTGCCGGCCTTTGGGCTATATATTACCATAAGTATTGATATATTCCTGCTACCAGTCACTTTCAACCCTGCTTACATGTATATCTTCCTACCAGTCATGTTTGTATGTACTGTACATGCCCACCTCAATCCCTTCAGTAGCTCTGCACATTGAATAAGGTACTGACACTGACTTGTATATATTTGCATTCTCGTGTTTCTTCAACTTATATCCTATAGCTTGTGTTTTTTTTAAATATTGTTATTATTATCATCACTGCATTGTTGGGAAAGAGCTCTCATGGTATTTCACTGTACTGTTTTACACCTGTTGTATCCTGTGCACATGGCAAATAAACTTTGAAACTTGAAACACTGACACTCACACATACCCACACTCACACACAGAACACACACACACACACACACACACCCCTCCAGCCCCAGAACAACACAGGTGCATGGAGAGAGAGGAAGAGAGGAGGAAGAGATAGAGGAGAGAGGTATGTAGGGTGAAGAGAATGGGGGAGAAGAGGAGGACAAAATACAGTGTGTGTGTGTGTGTGTGTGTGTGTGTGTGTGTGTGTGTGTGTGTGTGTGTGTGTGTGTGTGTGTGTGTGTGTGTGTGTGTGTGTGTGTGTGTGTGTGTGTGTGTGTGTGTACATGTGTGCTTGTAGGGCAATAGTGTTAGAGAACATTATGTCCACATTGCTCCCTTCAGACACAAATATGACACATCAGACTAAACTAAACACACACACATATAACACACAGACTAAACACACTCACTGGTCCCAGCCAGGTCCTCTTTCAGCCCCTAACTCCTAGCCTCAGCACCCTACCCCCTAACTCCTACTCCCTAACCACTAGCGGCTTATACAATGGAGTAAGTGATTGGAAAGGTACAGTGCCTTCGGAAAGTATCCAGACCCCTTCACTTTTTCCACATTTTGTTACCTACAGCCTTATTCTAAAATTGATTAAATAAATACAAATCCTCAGCAATCTACACACAATACCCCATAATCACAAAGCAAAAACAGGTTTTTAGCAAATGTATTTTAAAAAATGTAAAAAATATATTTAAAAAAACGTATTTACAGTATTCAGACCCTTTGCTATGAGACTAGAAATTTAGCTCAGGTGAATCCTGTTTCCATTGATCATCCTTGAGATGTTTCTACAACTTGATTGGAGTCCACCTGTGGTAAATTCAATTGATTGGACATGATTTGGAAAGGCACACACCTGTCTATATAAGGTCCCACAGTTTACAGTGCATGTCAGAGCAAAAACCAAGCCCTGAGGTCGAAGGAATTGTCCGTAGAGCTCCGAGACAGGATTGTGTCGAGGAACAGATCTGAGGAAGGGTACCAAAACATTTCTGCAGCATTGAAGGTCCCCAAGAACACAGTGGCCTGCATCATTCTTAAATGGAAGAAGTGTGGAACCACCAAGACTCTTCCTAGAGCTGGCCGCCTGGCCAAACTGAGCAATCGGGGGAGAAGGGTCTTGGTCAGTGAGGTGACCAAGAACGCGATGGTCACTCTGACAGAGCTCTAGAGTTCCTCTGTGGAGATGGGAGAACCTTCCAGAAGGACAACCATCTCTGCAGCACTCCACCAATCAGGCCTTTATGGTAGAGTGGCCAGACGGAAGACACTCCTCAGTAAAATGCACATGACAGCCAGCTTGGAGTTTGACAAAAGGCAACTAAAGACTCTCAGACCATGAGAAACAAGATTGGTCTGATGAAACCAAGATTGAACTCTTTGGCCTGAATGCCAAGCGTCACGTCTGGAGGAAACCTGGTACCATCCCTACGGTGAAGCATGGTGGTGGCAGCATCATGCTGTGGGGATGTTATTCAGCAGTAGGGACTGGGAGACTAGTCAGGTTTGAGGCAAAGTTTAACGGAGCAAAGTCCAGAGAGATCCTTGATGAGAACCTGCTCCAGAGCGCTCAGGACCTCAGACTCGGGCGAAGGTTCACCTTCCAACAGGACAAGAACCCTAAGCACACAGCCAAGACAAGTATCTGGAGAGACCAGAAAATAGCTGTGCAGCAACGCTCCCCATCCAACCTGACAGAGCTTGAGAGGATCTGCAGAGAAGAATGGGAGAAACTCCCCAAATACAGGTGTGCCAAGCTTGTAGCATCATACCCAAGAAGATTCGAGGCTGTAATCGCTGCCAAAGGTGCTTCAACAAAGTACTGAGTAAACAGTCTGAATACTTATGTAAATGTGATATTTCCGTTTTTTTTTTGGGGGGGGGGGGGGGGGGGGGGGGGGGTTGTTGCAAAAATTTATAAAAAAAAAGTTTTTGCTTTGTCATTATGTGGTATTGTGTGTAAATTGATGAGGGGAAAAAAACTATTTAATCAATTTTAGAATAAGGCTGTAACGTAACAAAACGTGGAAAATTCAAGCGGTATGAATACTTTCCGAAAGCACTGTATACGTGACTTCATCAAGCCTATCAGAGAGCAAGGTTACTGTATTACAGTAAGAGTTACTGTATTTCTATATTGATTTTGATTTAACTATTTAATTTAGATCTGAACAAGATCATCTGGAGTTAGGGGTCGGGGGCAGAGGGTAGGGGTTAGGGAAAGTATCTAGGGGATTGGTGTAACAGTGAACATTTTATCAACCCCGTCTCCCAAGGTCTATGTTACACTGTGACCACCATCACACACACACACACACACACACACACACACACACACACACACACACACACACACCACAGGTGGCTGGTGGCACCATAATTGGGGAGGAAAGATTTTTAGTAAATGGTATCAAACACATCAAACACATGGGTTCTATGGGTTTTAATACCATTCCATTTTTTCCATTTCAACCATTATTATGAGCCGTCCTCCCCTCCTCAGCCTCCTGTGACACACACATACACACACTCCTACAGAGACTCCAAGTAGAGACATTTTCTCTCACACACGCTCAGCAGCAGTTCACACACTCCCACACATAAAGGAAGAAATGCAAGCCTCTTTCAATCTCTGTATGTCTTTCTCTCACTCACTCACTATCTCTCTCTCTCTCTCTCTCTCTCTCTCTCTCTCTCTCTCTCTCTCTCTCTAGTACACACTCTCTCTATCCCTCTCTCTCAAACTCATGCACACACTGCTGACCAGAGAGAGACGGAAAAGGAAAAGGAGGGCTGAGTTTGTGGGCGCTGCTGAAGCACCTGTGTACATGTAAACATTTACGGCGGAGAAGAGAGGAGATAGGGATCCAAAAAGAGAAGAGAAGAAGACAGAGGAGAAGAGGAAAGAGGAGAAGAGAGGACAAATAACCGGAGAGGAGGAAAGAGAAGAGGTGCTGGGACGAGAAAAAGACAGGAGAGTTGAGGCCATTCTGGACACTTTAGCACAGAGAAGAGAGGTGGAGAAGGGAGATGATGATGATGAAGATGATGAGGATGCTGCTGTGTGTGTTGGGCAGTGTGTGTGTGTCTCAGGCAGAGGTAGCAATGGTCAACTCTGGGACAACGTTTACCTACCTCTGTATGGGCAACACCATCACACATATGCCCACACACATCCCCAAGAACACCACCGACCTGTGAGTACACACACACACCCCGAGATGTAAGGTCGGACGGGTGGAGAGGTGGAGGTGATCCAGTTTTGACTGCTGATGTTGCTGATGGATATTCTATTGATTTTACTTACAGTGCATTCTGAAAGTATTCAGACCCCCATTTTGTTACGTTACAGCCTTATTCTAAAATGTATTAAATAAAACATTTTCTTCATACATCTACACACAATACCCCATAATGACAAAGAGAAAACCGTTTTTTTTGAAATTTTAGCAAATGTATTACAAATAAAAAACAGAAATACCTTATTTACATAAGTATTCAGACCCTTTGCTATGAGACTCAAAATGTAGCTCAGGTGCATCCGATTTCCATTGATCATCCTTGAGATGTTTCTACAACTTGATTGGAGTCCACCTGTGGTAAATTCAATTGAATGGACATGATTTGGAAAGGCACACACCTGTCTATATAAGGTCCCACAGTTGACAGTGCATGTCAGAGCAAAAACCAAGCCATGAGTTCGAAGGAATTGTCCGTAGAGCTCCGAGACCGGGTTGTGTTGAGGCACAGATCTGGGGAAGGGTACCAAAACATTTCTGCAGCATTGAAGGTCCCCAAGAACACAGTGGCCTCCATCATTCTTAAATAGAAGAAGTGTGGTACCACCAGACTCTTCCTAGAGCTGGCCGCCTGGCCAAACTGAGCAGTCGGGGGAGAAGGGCCTTGGTCAGGGAGGTGACCAAGAACCCGATGGTCACTCTGATAGAGATCCAGAGTTCCTCTGTGGAGATGGGAGAACCTTCCAGAAGGACAACCATCTCTGCAGCACTCCACCAATCAGGCCTTTATGGTAGAGTGGCCAGACGGAAGAGCTTGAGAGGATCTGCAGAGAAGAATGGGAGAAACTCCCCAAATACAGATGTGCCAAGCTTGTAGTGTCATACCCAAGAAGACTCGAGGCTGTAATCGCTGCCAAAGGTGCTTCAACAAAGTACTGTGTAAAGGGTCTGAATACTTATATGGCGTTTTTTAGTGTTAATACATTTAATAAAATGTCTAAAAACCTGTTTTTGCTTTGTCGTTATGGGGTATGGTGTGTAGATTGATGAGGGGAAAAAACAATTTAATCCATTTTAGAAAAAGGCTGTAATGTAACAAAATGTGGAAAAAGTCAAGGGGTCAGAACACTTTCCGAAAGCACTGTATTGTCTGTTTGATCCTGACGATTTTTGTTTTAACAGCTGTTGATGTGGATGTTGTTGTTGTCATTATTGCTATTGTTGTCTCTTTGTGTTGTCATGATGTCGTTGGGTTGGTGTTATGGTGTGGGGATGGAAGGACGGGGGGAGGTGAAAGTAGTAGACTGCGGTAAACACTGTCCTCTTGCTTTTATAGTTGAAACATTTCTGAAGGAATCTCAAGGCTATCACCACAGATGGGCAACAGTGTGAGCATTTGTGCGTGCGTGCGCACACACACACACTCCTACAGAGACTTCCAGCACAGACATTCTCTAATACAATAATAATACTGTATATGCCATTTAGCAGACACTTTTATCCAAATCTACTTACACGCATATACATTTTTTACTTACGGGTGGTCCCAGGAATCAAACCCACTAACCTGGTGTTGCAAGCACCATGCTCTACCAACTGAGCTACTCTCACACGCGCCCCCCCTGATCTGATTGAATCCCAGCCAAAGAGGATGTGACAGAGATATCAGGTCCCCCAAACACACAAACACACACACACACACACACACACACAGCTGGCTGCTGTATCATTCCCAGCAATAATGTGAACTTGTTGTGTGTGTTCTGTTTTCAGGTCAAGGCTAGGGAAAATGTTTCATTCAAAACCAGTTTGTTACTGTATGATTGGCTGATTAGTGAATGAGGTGCGATCTACAGTCTAATTGGTTGTTGTGTTTTACAGGGAGTTCAAACAGACTCACATCAGAGTGTTTCCCCGAGAAGCCTTCACAAGCCTACAGCAGCTCACTACCATGTAAGTGCGTGTGAGTGTGTTTCGTCTGTATGTGTTTAGACTCTGATGTGGAACATGATGATTAGAAACACTGTAGATATGGATCACCCAAACAGAGGAGAGGGAGACAGGAATACCTTATATTAGTTATATAGTTATGTTATGGAAAAGGTTATTTGTCATTTAATCTTCTGTCTTTGGTTTTTCTCCTTAGGAAGGGCTACAGCTAGGCTACTTAAAGTAACTGTCCAGTGAACATCTAACTTTTAAAAGTTCATATTCTGTTAACTCATACCCAAATAATGTTGTTGATTTCTCCTATACTCGTATTTGTGGACTTCAAAAACCCCACCTCAAACTTGTATCTCAAACAGAACGGATAATAAATGCGCTGCTATGATGTCATCCTCCTGAGCTGGCCAATCAGCGGTCTACTCGCATTAATATTTTTTAGGACCGGTATACGCCCACACCAGTCTGTTGTTTAGGTGCGCCCACACCATTCCAACACAGAAAATATTACTTTGGATTTATTTTTGGAAGGAAAACTATTTCACTCATATTATAATTAATTATAGGTCATATTTCATAGAAATCTGGAAACACTGGACAGTTACTTTAAAAACAAGTGTGCTATAAATAGATCAGCCAGTCTCACTGCTATACTCCTCGGTCCATTTCTATCTTTTCCAATCTTTCTTCCTTTCTCTCCCTTACTCCCTCTCTCCCTTTCTCTGACCATTTCTCTCTCCCTCTCCCTCTCCCTCTCCCTCTCCCTCTCTCTATCTTTCTCTCTCTATCTTTCTCTCTCTCTCACACACTCTCAGTGTGCTAACAGAGAATGGTATGTTAGAGAGCATCGGGGCTTTTGCATTTGCTAACCTCCCCAGACTAACTGAGATGTAAGTATTAGTCCTACAGTACCACAACACAACATTTATACACCCTTCAACACAATTCATACCCCGCTCATACACCATTCAAACAACATGAATCCACCATTCATAAACATCTCAAACACTATTCTCACACCAATTCATGCACCATGTGCATATTTCAAATGTTTAATGTCTGCTCCAGAACCATCACCAAGTCGAAACATTTGGTCATCATCCATCAGCAGGCTTTCATGGGACTTCCGAAGCTAAAGTACCTGTAAGTTCTCTATCCCCTAAGCACTAATCCCTTTGCCCTAACCCTAACATTAACCCCTAAACTCTAACCCTAACCCCTAAGCCCTAAACCTAACCCTAACCACTACCCCTACTTCAACAGGCTTTCATGGGACAGCCCAAACTAATATACCTGTAAGTACCAGTAAACCCTAACCCTTAAACCCTAAGAACTAATCCTAAATCAGTTGGCTTTGATAGGACTGCCCTGTTTTTCAGGACCATCTGCAACACTGGACTGAGGGTTCTACCTAACTTCTCCCAGATCCACTCCACTGCCCTGAAATTTCTGCTGTATGTCACCATGCTCTCTTACTGTAGTGTTTGTGAGTGTGTATTCAGTAGTTCACATGTTACTGTATTGTGTGGGAAACATGAGCTGCTTCTCTTACAGATGTAGGATCTTAATTTGACTACATTTTATTGCACAGTAGGAAATGCAAACTTGTAGTGTATTCAAGGTTTCAACCCCCCCAAAAAATGCCATTAATTATAATCCACATAATAATTTCCTGTTGCTGCAGGATAATTTTCAAGACACACACATTCAAGACTCACTCATTATTTGTGCGTGTGTGTACTCTGTGTGTCTGTGCACTCTGTGCGTGTCTGTGCACTCTGTGTGTGTGTGTACTCTGTGTGTGTGTGTACTCTGTGTGTGTACTCTGTGTACTCTGTGTACTCTGTGTACTCTGTGTGTGTGTGTGTGTGTGTGTGTGTGTGTGTGTGTGTGTGTGTGTGTGTGTGTGTGTGTGTGTGTGTGCATGTGTGTGGTGCAGGGACCTGCAGGACAATGTACACATAGTGATCATCCCCAGCAACGCTTTCCTCGGCCTCACCACTAATACCATCGATGAACTGTGAGTAGTAACAAACACACATACAGAGTACACACACAAACACAGAGTACACACACAGAGTACACACACATACAGAGTACACACACACACAGAGTACACACACAGAGTACACACACATACAGAGTACACACACACACAGAGTACACATGAGTAGCCACACATCTCCCTGGAAAGATTACATTTTCACTAAATTACTTTATAAATGTGTGTTGTTCTTCTTACAGACGACTGACCAAGAACGGCATCAGTAAGGTCGAGAGTCACGCCTTTAATGGAACCAAGATACACAAACTGTGAGTCCACACACACACACACACACACACACACACACACACACACACATACTCACACACACACACACATACACACACACACACACACACACACACACACACACATATACACACACATACACATACACAAAGACTATAACAGTTTCTCTCTCTGTCTTGCTCAGGTTTCTCATGGGCAACCTGCAACTTTCCCATATGCATAATCATTCCTTCAAAGGAGCAGAAGGGCCGGGGTTCCTGTAAGCATAGCTCCACAACAACACATCAGTGACAATATCAGCTGTCTTTTGTTTTTGTGTCAAAGTGTTGTTGTTGTTGTTGTCTGTGTGTATTTAGAGACATCTCTCATACAGCGGTGAGTTCCCTGCCAGAGTCAGTGCTGGGTGAAGTTGAGCATCTGTCCGCTGTCTCAGTGTTCTCTCTCAGAGCGCTGCCTCCCCTGTTCCTATTCACAAAGCTACGACAGGCTAACCTCACCTATTCATCTCACTGCTGCGCCTTCCATAAACACCAGAGGAACAGGTACAAACACACACACTCCAAGATAGAATATATCTGTGTATATTACGTCACATATAAATGAGTGTGTGTGTGTGTGTGTGTGTGTGTGTGTGTGTGTGTCTGTGTGTGTGTGTGTGTGTGTGTGTGTGTGTGTGTGTGTGTGTGTGTGTGTGTGTGTGTGTGTATTTTCGCATTCTTGCGTGCATTTCTCAGGACCTTACGGATGAACTCTGCGTGCTTTAAACCCGGGGCTCAGAATAACCACCACTTCTTTATGGACTACTGTTTAAATTGGACGTCTGTGGCCTGTAGTCCCACCCCCGATGCCTTCAACCCCTGTGAGGACATCATGGGCTCCGCCCCTCTACGTGTCCTCATCTGGGTCATCTCTGTGCTTGCACTGTTAGGCAACACCATTGTGCTGCTTGTGTTGCTAGGTCAGTAGAAATAAAAGGAGGTTTTATGTATATTAGAAACTCTTCAAGACATCTTTATCGTAATAACTGTTTTTAGCACAATAAAAATGTGTGAATGGTGACAAATATTGTAATGAAAGCAGTTATCGTGATAAAACACGTTCTTGTGATAAAAGTTATTACTAAACTTCCCACTCACCCTTCTCGGTTGCTAGGCAGCCGAGCGAAGATGACGGTGCCACGCTTCCTGATGTGCCACCTGTCCTTTGCCGACCTGTGTATGGGCGTGTACCTGTTGGTCATAGCAACAGTGGACATGCGTACGAGAGGTCTGTACTACAACCACGCCATCAGCTGGCAGACCGGGGCGGGCTGTGACATCGCCGGGTTCTTCACTGTGGGTATACTGCAGACCTAGGAGGGTGTGTTTTTGTGGGTGTGTGTGTGTGTGTGTGTGTGTGTGTGTGTGTGTGTGTGTGTGTGCGCCCCAGCCTCCGTATACTGAAGTTATCTGAATGTTTATAACTGATGCTCTAACAGTGGTGCTATATGTGCAGGTGTTTGCCAGTGAGCTGTCTGTGTTTACTCTGACGGCCATCACCCTGGAGCGCTGCCACACCATCACACATGCCCTCAGACTGGACCGCAAGCTCCGCCTCCGACACGCCTGTGCTGTCATGGCTACCGGCTGGGCCTTCTCCTGTCTGGCAGCTCTGCTACCCACTGTAGGGGTAAGCAGCTACAGCAAGGTGAGGGATGTGTGATGTTACCTGTTTTTCTACACTTATTATTTTGCCCAGCCTCTATGCTAATGTGGGTATAATGTGTGTGTGTGTGTGTGCCTGCATGCATCGGTGTGTGTGTGTGTTTCAGGTGAGTATCTGCCTGCCCATGGATGTGGAGTCACTGCCGTCTCAGATGTTTGTCATGTCCCTCCTGCTGCTGAACGTGGTGGCCTTCCTGTGTGTGTGTGTGTGTTACCTGAGCATCTACCTGTCCGTCCATAACCCCTCCTCCCCCCCAGCCAGTGCTGAAACCCGCATGGCTCAGCGGATGGCCATCCTCATCTTCACTGACTTCCTGTGTATGGCGCCTATTTCCTTCTTCGCCCTCTCTGCCGCGCTCAAACTACCCCTCATCACCGTCTCCGACTCCAAGCTGCTATTGGTTCTCTTCTACCCAATCAACTCATGCGCCAACCCCTTCCTGTACGGATTATGCACCCGGACATTCCGTCGGGACTTCTTCCTGCTGGCAGCGAGATATGGCCTGTTTACTACCAAAGCGCAGATCTACAGGACAGAGAGTTTCTCCGTCCAACAGGCAGCATGGATCCAAATGTCGCCCAAAGCCTCCCACGGGATGCTGTATTAACTGGTCCACATCAGCCACGCCGCCGGACTCCTACCGAACCCCTGTCCTTTAACCCCTCACCCCTGAAACCAAGACCAGGCATGGGACACTGTGGCTGGTTCAAACAACAGCTTCTCTGAGAGGGATGGGACCCTAATGCCTCACAGTACGCACACACACACACACACAGACACACACAGGATTGCAGAAGGTGTGTGCAGTAACAGGTAGCTTTCTAATAGTAGTAGGTGGCTCTTTAGTAGTACTTTAGTTAGTTTGCGTTTGACTCCACAAATTCACCTGATCGCATCAACATACTGAACCCTCTCTTTACTCTCTACATCCTCCTTCTCGCTATCTCTCTTTCCCCTCCCCGTCTTCTCAATATAGAATAAATACAGTTCAAGATATGTTAAATGTTTTTAAGAGATATGTAAAGATGTTTGTTTGTTTGTTGTTTACTTAACCCAGGTCTGGTTCTTTCATGAGATATGTTTATTGGTTGAAGGAAAATGTGTTTATATGAGTTGTGCATCTGCTGTTGTTGATAAATCTCTATGATTGTGAATTTTATCAAGAGTGAGAATGTTACTGAGAATTGAGTTGAGGTTTAGTGTGTACTGGCAGCACATAGAGAAGCCAAAATGAACCCTCACATATAGACATGCACGCACACACACATATTTGAGCAGTTTCTTGTGTTATCAGAAACATTCTGTCCTTCAGCACATCCAGTCTGTTCAAGGACAATGACCAATCCCACAACCCCTCTTTGTGTGTGTGTGTGTGTGTGTGTGTGTGTGTGTGTGTGTGTGTGTGTGTGGGAGGGGAGGTTACACAGCTGCACTCAGCCCGTTCATCAGCAGAAGGGAAATGGCTGGTGGATATGGCTCATATACACACAGTCTATCAAACACACACACACACTCTAAAGATGGTATTTCAAGGTTGCAGGAGCGAGGCAGGTCCTTGGGTCCACCTCAATGTGGAAACACTGTCATGCCCAGTCCCAAATCATCCCCTAGCTCCCACCACTTACCACCTACCGCATACACATGAATGGACCATTAGATTGCGACATTGCACCATATTTCTAAACAGTCCGCTAATGATCAGATTCACAAAAGGTGGCTATGTTTAGAAGGGGTGAAACTTTTCACCACCCCCCCACCCCCCCACACACACACACAAATTCTGAAATTGTATTTTTTTCCACCCAGTTTTATCATTGGAATGTGATACAAAACAAGGCAAAGGTGTGCTTTAGGAGCATGCGGACGCCTCCGAGCGTTCGGGTAGGCTGTTTGGAGTGTTTATCCGACTGGATTAAATATATATATATACAGTGAGGGAAAAAAGTATTTGATCCCCTGCTGATTTTGTAAGTTTGCCCACTGACAAAGCAATGATCAGTCTATAATTTTAATGGTAAGTTTATTTGAACAGTGAGAGACAGAATAACAACAACAAAATCCAGAAAAACGCATGTCGAAAATGTTATAAATTGATCTGCATTTTAATGAGGGAAATAAGTATTTGACCCCCTCTCAATCAGAAAGATTTCTGGCTCCCAGGTGTCTTTTATACAGGTAACGAGCTGAGATTAGGAGCACACTCTTAAAGGGAGTGCTCCTAATCTCAGCTTGTTACCTGTATAAAAGACACCTGTCCACAGAAGCAATCAATCAATCAGATTCCAAACTCTCCACCATGGCCAAGACCAAAGAGCTCTCCAAGGATGTCAGGGACAAGATTGTAGACCTACACAAGGCTGGAAAGGGCTACAAGACCATCGCCAAGCAGCTTGGTGAGAAGGTGACAACAGTTGGTGCGATTATTCACAAATGGAAGAAACACAAAATAACTGTCAATCTCCCTCGGCCTGGGGCTCCATGCAAGATCTCACCTCGTGGAGTTGCAATGATCATGAGAATGGTGAGGAATCAGCCCAGAACTACACGGGAGGATTTTGTCAATGATCTCAAGGCAGCTGGGACCATAGTCACCAAGAAAACAATTGGTAACACACTACGCCGTGAAGGACTGAAATCCTGCAGTGCCAGCAAGATCCCCCTGCTCAAGAAAGCACATATACATGCCAGTCTGAAGTTTGTTAATGAATATTTGAATGATTCAGATGAGAACTGGGTGAAAGTGTTGTGGTCAGATGAGACCAAAATGGAGCTCTTTGGCATCAACTCAACTCGTTGTGTTTGGAGAAGGAGGAATGCTGCCTATGACCCCAAAAACACCATCCCCTCCGTCAAACATGGAGGTGGAAACATTGTGCTTTGGGGGTGTTTTCTGCTAAGGGGACAGGACAACTTCACCGCATCAAAGGGACGATGGACGGGGCCATGTACCGTCAACTCTTGAGTGAGAACCTCCTTCGCTCAGCCAGGGCATTGAAAATGGGTCATGGATGGGTATTCCAGCATGACAATGACCCAAAACACACGGCCAAGGCAACAAAGGAGTGGCTCAAGAAGAAGCACATTAAGGTCATGGAGTGGCCTAGCCAGTCTCCAGACCTTAATCCCATAGAAAATCTGTGGAGGGAGCTGAAGGTTTGAGTTGCCAAACGTCAGCCTCGAAACCTTAATGACTTGGAGAAGATCTGCAAAGAGTAGTGGGACAAAATCCCACCTGAGATGTGTGCAAACCTGGTGGCCAACTACAAGAAACGTCTGACCTCTGTGATTGCCAACAAGGGTTTTTCCACCAAGTACTAAGTCATGTTTAGCAGAGGGGTCAAATACTTATTTCCCTCATTAAAATGCAAATACATTTATAACATTTTTGACATGTGTTTTTCTGGATTTTTTTGTTGTTATTCTGTCTCTCACTGTTCAAATAAACCTACCATTAAAATTATAGACTGATCATGTCAGTGGGCAAACGTACAAAATCAGCAGGGGATCAAATACCTTTTTCCCTCACTGTATATATACAATGAGGGAAAATGTTCATTCATTTGAAAATAAATTAGATGACCTAATATTATGATTATCCTACCAACGGGACATTAAAAACTGTAATATCTTATGTTTCACCGAGTCGTGGCTGAACGACAACATGGACAACATACAGCTGACGGGATATACGCTACATCGGCAGGATAGAACGGCTGACTCCGGTAAGACAAGGGGTGGCGGTCTATGTATATTTGTAAACAACAGCTGGTGCACAAAATCAAATACTAAGGAAGTCTCGAGGTTTTGCTCGCCTGAGGTAGAGTATCTTATGATAAGCTGTAGACCACACTATTTACCAAGAGAGTTTTCATCTATATTTTTCATAGCTGTCCATTTACCACCACAAACCAATGCTGGCATTAAGATTGCACTCAATGAGCTGTATAAGGCCATAACTAAACAGGAAAACGCTCATCCAGAGGCAGCGCTCCTAGTGGCCGGGGACTTTAATGTCGGGAAACTTAAATCTGTTCTACCTAATTTCTACCAGCATGTTAAATGTGAAACCAGAGGGAAAACAACTCTAGACCACCTTTACTCCACACATAGAGACGCATCCAAAGCTCTCCCTCGCCCTCCATTTGGCAAATCTGACCATAACTCTATCCTCCTGCTTATAAGCAAAAACTAAAGCAGGAAGCACCAGTGACTCGGTTAATAAAAAAGTGGTCAGATGACGCAGATGCTAAGCTACAGCACTGTTTTGCTAGCACAGACTGGAACATGTTCCGGGATTCTTCAGATAGCATTGAGGAGTACACGACATCAGTCACTGGCTTCATCAATAAGTGCATCGATGACGTCGTCCCCACAGTGACCGTACGTACATACCCCAACCAGAAGCCATGGATTACAGGCAACATCCGCACTTAGCTAAAGGGTAGAGCTGCCGCTTTCAAGGAGCAGGACTCTAACCCGGACGCTTATAAGAAATCCCGCCATGCCCACCGACAAACCATCAAACAGGCAAAGAGTCAATACAGGACTAAGATTTAATCGTACTATACCGGCTCTGACGCTCATCGGATGTGGCAGGGCTTGAAAACTATTACAGACTACAAAGGGAAGCACAGCCGCGAGCTGCCCAGTGACACAAGCCTACCAGACGAGCTAAACCACTTCTTTGCTCGCATCGAGGCAAGCAACACTGAAGCATGCATGAGAGCATCAGCTGTTCCGGATGACCATGTGATCACGCTCTCCGTAGCCGATGTAAGTAAGACTTTTAAGCAGGTCAACATTCACAACGGATTACCAGGACGTGTACTCTGAGCATGTGCTGACCAACTGGCAAGTGTCTTCACTGACATTTTCAACATGTAATACCAACATGTTTCAAGCAGACCACCATAGTCCCGTGCCCAAGGACACTAAGATAACCTGCCTACCGACCCGTAGCACTGACATCTGTAGCCATGAAGTGCTTTGAAAGGCTGGTCATGGCTCACATCAACACCATTATCCCAGAAACCCTAGACCCGCTCCATTTTGCATACCGCCCCAACAGATCCACAGATGATGCAATCTCTATTGCACTCCACACTGCCCTTTCCCACCTGGACAAGAGGAACACCTACGTGAGAATGCTATTCATTGACTACAGCTCAGCGTTCAACACCATAGTGCCCTCAAAGCTCATCACTAAGCTAAGGATCCTGGGACTAAACACCTCCCTCTGCAACTGGATCCTGGACTTCCTGACGGGCCGCCCCCAGGTGGTAAGGGTAGGTAACAACACATCTGCCACGCTCATCCTCAACACGGGGGCCCCTTAGAGGTGCGTGCTCAGTCCCCTCATGTACTCCCTGTTCACCCATGACTGCATGGCCAGGCACGACTCCAACACCATCATTAAGTTTGCCGACGACACAACAGTGGTAGGCCTGATCCTCGACAACGATGAGACAGCCTATAGGGAGGAGGTCAGAGACCTGGCCGTGTGGTGCCAGGATAACAACCTCTCCCTCAACGTGCCCAAGACAAAGGAGATGATTGTGGACTACAGGAAAAAAAAGAGGACTGAGCTTCAAGTTCCTTGGTGTCCAC